GCAAAGCAAACTTGCAGTCCCAATCCAAGCAACAAAGTGACCCCCTCAGCCCACCAACGGCTGACGCAGTGGGCTGCGGTGACCTCTCCGTCTCCCTCCGTGATCCAGGCCGTTCTCCTGCCCTCAGCTCAGCACCCACGTGTTGTCAGCAGCTCCTGTTACGTAAGCGCTCCTGCCAGACAAAAGCTCAGCCATCCCTGATACAAATCGCTGGCCCATGTTGGCAGCAGCGATAGTACTGCTCAGTAATCCACGCAGGGTCTCTCTTGTTGAGAATGTTTTTTCCCTGGCTGCCAAATGGAAATTTTTGACCATGTAATAATAGATTTTGAGGGCATGAAATACAAGGTATTTGTTAGACGTCATGTTTTGTTGTTTTAAGCCCGCTATGACCTTAAAGGTGAACTCTGGCTTTGTAATTACCTTTGGGTGTCAAACTCTGGTGAAGTTTCAGTGTGCGCCAACACCACAACAATTGATGAGCATTTGATGGATGCCATAAACTTATGGCCTCCCACACTTCCTCTTTCCCTTCAGGGTGTTCAGTGTCATAAACATTTTTATTGCGGTCTTAATGACTTTAATTTCCGCCATAATTTAATCCTGTGTTATCACTTTAGTTTTATTGTACAGCACCATTAAAAAGTTTTACAGTTAAGAAGTAACTGTGATCGAAACGCTTGATTCATGAGTGACCTGATGCGCTCAGATCTTATCCAGCACAGAATAAAAAATAAAATATGTGACTTTTATTATAGTGTAATGCAAGAAGACTTGGAGGACACAGACTGTCATTTTTACCAACTTGATACTGAAAAAAGTGCTTTTGAAGGAGGTGCCATTTGATGGTTTTAGTTTTACACATCAGCAGCAGCTAGGTTTCTATTAGTGTGCGAGAACATTCTGTCCACAGCCCTCTGTTTATCACCCTTCCACTTTTTTTTATATTTAATGGCTCTGAGTACTTTTTGCCTGTGCTGGGAGACTATACATCACATAATGGTACAGGATTATAAGAAAACACAGATTTACATCGTAACTAGACGACCTCTGTCCTCTGCTAAAGCCATCATAGTTGGTAAAACGTGTTGATGCTGCTGCTAAAGCCATCACTGTTTAGCCATCAGAACTTAAGGTGCAGCCTGTACATCTACTATGCTGTGGTATTGTCACAACTTAGTAGCTTCCTGTTTGTATGTTTTAATCTGCTTTCTCCTTTTTAAACGCTTTCATTTCTGTCATTATTATACCAGGGAAAAAAAAGAATTTGCCAGAAAGCTGCGATGATAATTTGAATAGTTCAGTTTTCTTGCAGTGGGCCTCACTTCATTTACAGCATGTCCCTGTCAGTGTAGTAGTTATAGTAGTTATGCTATATCAAATTTTGTACTAATGCAATAAAATTGCCCTAATTTGTTTTGTTTTATAACAAAGGCTTGTTAGACAGTGACTCAAAACCTGTCGCAGTGATTCCCAGAGTGTCGGTCGTGGCTTCTGGTCGGCCACGAATGTGCTGTTGGTCAGAATACAGTCTAATCTACGTTTCTGTATCAGTTCAAATGAGATCTCCGCCTGTTTCGTTACACTGTGTGTATGTGATCAGTAGATCTCACAAGAATATTGGGAGGCCCTGCAGAGGAGACTGTCGAGCCGCTGACTTTGCAAAGAATGCTCTAGAAATACAGTGCTGCCTGAGAAAGTCTGTTTCTCCCCCGTGTGCCTGCGTGCCTTTAATAATGATAAAGAAACCGAGGGAGGCAGGGAAAGCGAGAGAATGGTGGAGAGGTGTAAGAAGAGTAAACTCGTGACTCATCAGGCACAATGGAAAAGAGTTCACTGAGTCAGATGAAGCAGGAACACTAGGTGGTGGATGAGCCATGAGACTGATGGGAATAGATGACTGTAGGTATTTTATTTTGGGAGTCAGCAGTCACTATAATATATTATTTTGCTCATCAAACTAGTGATTTACAGGCATATAGAGTAACATTTAAAAAAACAAACTATCTATAGTTACATTTTATTTCCTTTTTGAACCACATTGATCAGAAATAAGGGTGGATAATAAGGCTAGGCCATGACAGATCCCTGCTAGTAGTTTGTACCTAAATCACTACTTCATTCCTCCTCATCATGCTGCTTATCAATAAAATGGAAGTAAAGTGAATAAAAACTCTGCACCACACTACAGTGGATAACAGCATAATTCCCACTTCCTCTTAGTGGTAATTTTTCTTCTTCTGTTACGCATATTCTAGATGATACTGAAATATAATTGAGTGTATTATGACTGTATTATAAGAAAATATATAAAAGAGAAATTGTTTGCCAAATGTTTGGCAAAGACGGATGGAAGCCCTCTGAAGACATAGTAAAGTGCTTACCAGCTCTGTATTTTTAATGTTGGACTAATTCTTTTTTACCTCATAGTGGCCATTCGTGCAGCCCTTCAGTTAATTGTTGGTTTGAAACTAACTGTTGTAGCTCCCCCTTTTGGAAACAAGGTCTTGACAGCAGCTGGATGGAGCTTATGTCTTCACATCCAAAGTTGTGTGGCTTAGATGACCATGTCATGGGTATCTACTCTCACCAATATCATACAGAGCCCAAGAAAAAACAAACACACAAAAAACCCCACAGTGAAGCATCCTGAGACCTGAGCTTTTGGTGCACCGGGTTTACGTATGCACCCCTCAAACATTCACTAAGGGTGAAAGGGAAAGCATTAGAGATTTTTTTTTCTCTCTATTTCGTATCTCCAACTGAATATTTTTGGTTAATTGATCACGTTGGCTACAGCACCAAAACAAAATAGAGGCCCCTTTGCTTTGATTTGGTCCCAAATTACATCCGTCAGACCAGGGCTACTTTGATTCATAGTCTTTGTCTGCTGTGCATCGATTGCCCTCTATATCCTTTATGCCAACGGCCCGTCGATCCTTACTCTGTCTTTATTTCAGTCCCGATGATGTTTCTGTATTGATTTTAGTGCCAAACTGAAGCTTGCTCACTGTGGGTCCTTCGGCTCTGCCATTGAAATTTGAAGACTAATTGATTTCAAATGAGCGAAAGGCACGACGTGTTTCCTCATACCAAACCACTCCCTCAGGCTGTACTTGGATGTGACACGTCTTCACTTCTTTTACCTCTTGCTTTGCCAGACAGTTATTTCTTTGCTTTATCTTAAATTTATCTTAGTCTTTGCTTAATCTACACTCGATGTACAAGAGTAAATATAAAGTACAGATGTGGCAGCACTGGACTTCAGCTTGTTGGTTCCACAGATAGTATAAAAGATGGCAAATTACCAGTTGGTTAGTGAAGTCTGGTGAGACTTCAAGGTGCCTGTTTTTGTCACCATCCTGGTGTTTTGAAACTTCCTTTCTGACTCCTGATGACCATGAAGGCAATTTAAAAAATGCCTTGGGAATTTTATTCAGTAATACCAGAAACTAGCAGTTCAGTAATCTAGTTCTTAAATGCATCGGGGAAAAATGTTTACTGAGAGCATAGTTCCAGGAAAGATGCATGCACAAGTTGTCCTTTCCCATCTTTTTAATTTCTGGTTGAACAACACTTTCACAGCAACAGTTATGAATAATTTGGAAAGTCGCCATTCTCGTTTGTTGGTTAGTAGGGATTTTCTTTGTAAAAGCCATGACCTTTTCCAGTTAATGTTTTCAGAAATATTCATACAGGGTGTTGTTGTTGGTATTTCTGTGAACAAGGTTTCCCATTATTTTCTTGACTGCTTGCTGACTGGTCATTGTGGAGCAATCATAGTCATAATCATTGGACTAAACGAGTGGTATGAAGTTTTATATGTAGGTGAAGATGCTGAAATGCTGTCTGCATCAACAACAATATTTTCTGCATTTTACAGGAAATGAATAGCAGCTGACCCAGGGGCTGACAGTTACTACCAATCAAAACAAATCTTCTTTTTACATTAAATGGGAATAAAGTTCTTTTGAAGAAACTCAGTTAAGATGGTTTAAATGTGAATAAGATGAATCTTTCACATATTGTTTGTTTTACACAACAGCACAACTAAATTAAACAGTTGGAATAAGAAGCTCTACATGCAGATCAACTCTTTGTCTAGTTTGACACAATTTACATTTGATTGATTTCTTTCTTAATTGCAAACATACAACAACCCTGCTTTCTAGCAGAGATAAGTGCAGCATGCAGGATGGATATATAGATATATAAATTCTAAAAAGTACTATATTTTTATAGATAAAGGTATCTTTTTTGATGGGCTAGTAAATATCTATAGGGCCAGTAAATTGCTCAATAGCAAAAATGCAGTCTTGGTGTATTGTAGATATGTTGCAGTTGCGCCATAACAGAAAATGTTGAACAACGTTAAACCAAAGTAAAATTTCCACCAAGCACACCAATCAGTTGTGTGACACTCCATTCTCTCTTTAGATGAGATGCGGAGACAATTCCTCAAATAAATGTAGTTTAGTTGGAAACCATGTAGTAAATTATACTTGGTGCACACTCATTTACTCTTTCAGCAGGTCATATTTGCAGGTGTGATTGAAGCACTTGTCTTGATTCCAGATTTTACAGGGACCATGAGTCATGACTTTTAAATTTTTAACTTGTCAGCTTTAATTAAAGAGTCTTCATAAAAGCAGCTGAAACCACACAGTAAAGTTTCCCACGTGACAAACATCACACCTCGCAGAGCTACTCGACTTGTCATTTGACTCCCATTAGTTTCTGTTCAAGCAGTTAGTGAAACCTGTGCTCTTTGTGTGTCTCTGCTGTTTTCATGGGCGGGACAAGTGACTGTGAAAGGTGTCAAGTTCAAAAACATCCAGGCCACAACAGGTTTATATTCAAAAAGGGGTTGAATAAGGTTTATATCACCTTTTGCACTCTTTTCATTTCTTATAAGCTGATTAATGTGGATGTTTAAACTCTGATGGGTTTTTACCTGCAGCCTTAATCTTACTTTGTCTTCTTTCCCCCCTTTTTTTCAGGTGTGGCTGACAGACTAGCTGAAGGTAGAGGCCGACTCCACCTTATCCATTCACTTTGCTGCCCTGTCGGGGAGAGCAGAGTACAGGTTTTTTTTGTTTTGTTTTTTTTCTTTCTCTCTCTCTCTCTCTTTCTTTTTAATGCCTGGATGCAACCCGCCAACTTGTGAATTCATGATCACATGACCGTGGATATGGACGCAGTCCTGTCCGACTTTGTCCGTTCCACTGGAGCTGAACCGGGATTGGCCAGAGACCTGCTAGAGGGTGAGTTACTGAGGATGGTAGAATTTCATTATTAACAATATTGCAAAGCTAAAGTGATGAATGCAACATGACGTTTCCTTTCCCCTTCCTTAATGGATGTTAGTTCAGACTGAGCCTTATTTTAAAGTATAGTTTATTGTTTAAATTAAGACTTGAACTTAAATATTAAGACTAAACAAGCAGCAGTGTTTTAATGATGAATTTCACGATGTATAAAATAGTTGGTAATAGCTGGACCCAGGCATAAAGCTTGCTTTGCTTTATATTTATGCTTCTCGCACTTGTGGTTTGATGTGATATTTATTAGCTTTTTGACTGCAAATAATTAGATTGAGATTGAATTAATGAGAGCTGCTGTTGTCACTTTTCTTTCACAGTAGTGCGGTGATTAGTGCTTGGTTTGAATCTTCTAACGTGTTGGGAGTTTCCTGTGTGGAGTTTACATGTTTCTTCTGGCCCTGTGCAGATTTCTCTGTGGGTTTTCCAGCTTCCTCCCACAGTTCAAATAAATCCTTTTTTTAAGTTGATTGGTGGTTCTAAATTGGCCAAGGATGTGAGATAAACAAAGTGTGTGATGTTTATGGAATAAAGAAGTGTATGAATGCGGCTAACTGTGGTCGAAGGTTCCTGGAGTTGTAAGGCTAAAAAAGCCTATAAATGCCATTTCTGTTTCCTCCACCTGAGTTCACGCTCTCTATCTCAGCACAGCTTTGTTGCATCACCAGCGTTGCGTTCCAGCTGTGTTTTCCACATCATTAGAAAGCACCACTTTCTTCTAGTAGCTTCCTTCAATGTGAAAATACAGATGTAAAGCGAAAACTTATCAGATCTGTTTGTCTTTACACTTTGATCCCTTCTATTTTTAATCCATTAATTTCATTTCTGCTTCAAGTGAACTTAAAAAAAAGCAGAAGTGGGGATGTAGTTATAGGAAGTTAACTGGAGATGATGTTCCAGGCAGTGGACTCAGTAAGTGCTTTTGGCTTTTTACTGTTAATTATGCTATCAAAGTCTAATAGAACGAAGGTATTACTAGTGTCAGCAGGGCTCCTGTTGCCTAGCAGCAGCACAAGTTGCAGATAAGAATATGGGTTAAAATGTAATGCATTGCAGCAAGACAGCGAGCTGAGGCGTTTATCCAATAAAGGAATGTGTCAGCGGCCTTTGGGTACAACACAAAGCCCGTGTTGCATTGACTTGTGGTAAATATTTAAACTGATGAGGACTCAGTCATTCGCTTGCCAAAAAGATTCAGGTAGTCCTGTTGGAGCAGTTAACTCAGACAGATGTTTCTGTCTCTCTCTTCCTCTCTCTTCCTAGGCAAGAACTGGGATTTCACTGCTGCCCTCAGTGACTTTGAGCAGCTGCGACAGGTGCATGCTGGGAACCTGTCGTATTCGTTCACAGAAGAGCGAACGTATCTGGCCCCTGAAAAGGAGATGGCTCGGGTAGGACGGCCTATACTCCATCGCCAAGATGAGGTGGTGCAAGGTGAGGTTCTCAGGAAGTGAGTTAGTCCAAAACACGAGTTCAGTTTGCAGTTTATTAGGTGCACCAACTTAATCTAAATGTTTTGACTACAACAAACATGCAGTGACTACATATCAGCTGATAAAGTGACAATTACAGAGGGTTTAAACCTCACAATATTTTTGTAATCTGGTGCTCGCAATGGAGGCTTGAGGCTCGAGCGTGTGAGTTGGTGCAGTTTAGGAACCCAGATGACACAGGGATGTAACTGCAAAGGTTGGAAAAGATGAGAAGTTTAAACTTTCTGTATTACTTTTTCATGGTTAAACACTGATATATTATTTTTTCTTTCTTTTTTCCTGAATAGCGACAGTGGTTTAGGAGTAGACTGCAGTAGTTTCAATATGAGTAAAAATGGTTGCAGAGCTGGGTTGATGTCACAGCTTCTGTGATGACCACGGTGTAACGCTGACAACAGCACCAAGTCAGCGAGCAGTTTTCTGATAATAAGCCCTGTTGGTGTTTCAGCTGTGATATGCAAAGTTCTACGTTACAATTTACATTGGATGTTTGGGCGAAAGTTTAGTTGAGCTGTCTCTTAGTTTAGGTGAGTCCACACTTTTTAAAATGCAGGCATGTCCCCCTGCTGCCAAAAATAATGTATCATTCCCGAAAGGTTACTAATGCACCGTTTCATTCCTTATCAAATAAAAATACTAGCAATTGTCCTACCGCTTAATATTCTGGTCTACCCTGAGACTAACCATAATAACTACAAATCATAATGTGCAAATATGCACTTCATGCAACACCTTTTTTTTCTCTCTCTCTCTGTAGCTACAGAGAAGCGTTTGTCGAGGGGTATTTCTCATGCTAGCTCTACCATCGTTTCTCTGGCCCGCTCTCACGTCTCGAGCACCGGCGGTAGCAGCAATGAGCCTCTTCTGGACACGCCCCTGTGCACTTTCCAACTGCCAGACCTCACTGTGTACCGGGACGACTTCAGGAACTTCATTGAGAGGGACCTTATTGAGCAGTCCATGATGGTGGCCTTGGAGCAAGCCGGTTAGTATAACTCTGTACCATACATGAGATTTTAGGCTTGACTTGGTTGCAGATAAAAGACAGTTCTTACCCCCCACGTGCTTTTGAAGTGACACGAGTGTTTGTTGTTTCTATTCCAAAATATATTGCCTACTCCTGCATTTATAAGACAACAGATGTACTGCTTCTGTTTTAAATATTTGGATTTAAAATCACGACATGCTGTTTTAAGTGACGTTTGTTGTGACTAGTTCATGTTAAATTACCAACAAGGTAAAATGCTATTTTGCAGTGGTAGCTTGGCCCCTTTGAAGAACTTGTTGTGGTGTTACTTTGACCCGCCACTTCCAAATGTAAATTTTGTATCCAGAGTGTCAGCTGGTGGTTTTGTGAAATATATTTTGAGACATTTCTTGTTCGGTCCTTGCCTCTCTGTCTTCCGTCTTCTCCTTGTCGTCACCTCGCTGGGCAGGCAGCATGGACAGCTAAGTTTGTGAATGCCATAATTCGAGAATGAGTCGATGTAGGAGCTTCAAATTTATACCATAGGTGTATCTACTAAACCTATTTGACAAGTTCGAATCTCAGTGACCTAGACCTAAAGGTCAAAGGTCAAGATCCTGAACATTGGTAAATGTGATAACTTGAAACCAAGGTCTTCTAATATGTGTCTTCTAAGACGCTGAGCGGTAACACTGTCGCCAGTATTTTTAATTTTTTTTCCCTTTCTCCAATGGCTGCCCCACCACGAGTCTAGTTGTGCTCGAAGTTTGTTAAAAGGTTCTTCGTTCCCAAACTTGCCAACTGCTACTCAGAAGAGATGATCTGATTATCGAGTAGTGCTGGGCGATATGACGATATATATATCGTGTGGACGATAGAAAAGTGTATTTCGTGCCATTTGTCTTCTATTGTTTCTAACCTAATTTTATAAATTATTACATAAAATATATCATTAACCCTTTAAAACCGGTCGGAGCAGGCACACTCCGTTTTGCCTATCTATTTTTGAATCCCTGTAGAACTGGAACCACATAAGCTAGCGCAATAATTGTTTTTGTTTTGTGTATGAAACCGGAGGAGTTGTACTTACATCTTATGCCATTAGCTTTTCCTAGGTCGATGGCAATAAAATTGAATCACAGTTTGTGTTGAATTTCTTATTTTGTGCTCACCTCGTGTGTGCAGCTAGGGCAGGAAAATAGACTGTTTTCAACATCATTATATTAAATTGTGACAGTAAACATATAACTCATTCAAACAGCTCTGACAGTTGTAGCAAAATCTGAATACCTGTAAAGGCAGAGGTGTTGTAATCACTAACTCATAATTATAGGCTATGACTTTTGAAGGTGAATTGTTTCATTCCAAAATAAGACAAAATGACTGCTGACACGAGAGGAAAACCTTCTCTGGAAGTCTTTTGACTTGAAAATCACATGTTGACACAAATGACTATCTTTTTGAGGACTTGCACAGCAGTTGTTTTGGATGAATACTTCACCATATTTGTCATGCAAACATGTGAGTTAAACATTTATTATTCACCTGCAGGGCGGCTGAACTGGTGGACAAAAGTGGTTTCAAACTGCCAGAGTCTGCTACCTCTGGCAACAAGCGGAGATGGAAATTGCCTGCTGCACGCAGCCTCGCTCGGTGAGTATCACGGGCCTTTCAAACAAGACCCCAATACAGTGTAGGTTCACACTCCATTAGCATTCATTAAGGGAACTCCAGTGTTAGCTTAAGCACTAATTGCATTTTACAATGTTGCCGTGCACGTTCACTTTGCCTTTACAGCCCACTTAGGACTCCTAGCTCAGAAAATTAATAATGCTCCAACTGTGCAGGCATTGTTCCAGACTTTTATAGTAGGTGTGAGTATAATATTCATGTGCTTAACTTGTTCTCATTAAAAGACAGTTAGACCCTTTAGCCATTGTAAGTTTGTAGTTTTTTTTATTTGGGACATGACAATACAGAAAAACCCCTGAAACATCTGCACACCTATATGATTAGATGTGGTTGTACAAAAGATTCTGTTGATGTGTGTTTAACGACCTGATTTTGTTTCTGTTGCAGGTATGTGGGGCTTTCACGACCGAGACTTGATGCTGCGGAAGTCCCTGTACGCACTGATGGATCACGGGTTGGAGAGAGAGGCACTGAAGCGCAGGTGGAGGTGGCAGCAGACCCAGCAGAACAAAGAGGTCTGTCACAGAGGCTGCACATTAGCCTTGACTATCTTTGTTATTCCCATGACTGTATTAGGGCGGTGCACAGAGAAGTTACTAGGCAAGTTGAGGCTTTTCACATGCCTTGCATGCCAGATAATTCAAGTCAGCCTGCATAACATTTGATATTTAACGAGTAGCATGCAGTTCAGAAGATGAAGGGGCAGCGCTAGTGCACAGAATAAGATAAACAAGGTGTAGTTTGAATTCTGAATCATTAGAATTTAGTTTTCGTTTTTATTTAGTTTCCTCCACTACTGCTACATTTTTAACTGTAAATACTTTAGCTATGGACAAGACTGTCTTCCTCACTGAAGTTTATCGAGTTTTGAAAATTCAGTTAACTTTGATTTACAATAATTAGTAAAACAAGATATCGGGTTGCACCAGGAAGGGCATCTGTGGTAAAACTGAGAAAGCCTGTGGTGTGGGAGCAGCTGAAAGGAGTAAAACAGGTACTTTCGATAAATTGTCTTTTGGCCTTCATTTTCATCAAAAGAAAACTTTTTTTTTTTTAAATATATTTTTGTAAACCCCTTACCTTTCTGAATTCACTCTGTTCCTGGTTGTGTTATGTTTAGTTATTTAAGTTATTCTTTGTTTTTTCAGTTAAATTATAATTAAAGTACAAAGAAATGGAAACTTGTAAATCTATTTTATTCTATTTTCCCGCATTTTTGACCAGTATTTAGGATTTATTATTTTATTTTTTAAATTTATTTTTAATTGTGCAGCAGTACTCTGGATTAAATTAAAACATTTTTAGCAGCGCTGTTGTATTTAAAAAAAAAAAAAAAAAAAAAAAAAAAAAAAAGTGGCACTTGCAGGTTTACATATCAAACCAAATTCCCATGTAACTCATTATTGGTTAACTAACTTTTGAAAATTGTTGTTTTTACCATGAAAAGTCACCTTTGTCCTTTTTTTGCAGCCATATCAAATGCAAACATTGATTTTGAGATGTAACTCTAAGCACAAGTATCTCCACCTTTTTTCTTAGTTGCGTGCTGATAACGCTTTTTCGCAATGTGGCAAAAACAGGATTTTAGAGCCTGTTTTACACAACACAACTTTTATCCTCATGAAAGCTTAAAATTGTAGCACAGCAAGTATGCTTTGTTTTTTTTAAAGTGGATGCAGACAGCATGTATATACCCACAGTAAGAGGAAACCACATGAATGACTGCATAATGTTCACAGCAGAATATCTGAGGCATCCTCAAGCAAATCACTTAAACCAAACACGCTCTAGTGGAGCTGCTCCGTGGGCAGTGCTCGGGCCTGTGGCTGCTCTGTGTGAATTTAGGTCATTGGTTTTATTTGGTGGCTGTCAAAACTGGCCAAAAATCAAGTTTGACCATTCATTTAAACAAAACATTTGAATATCGTACTTTGTGCATTAATTCCTCACGAGTACAAAACCAGAGTGAGATATAACTGCTTCTATAGCTTCTATATTTATTTCAACATAGAGATGTCCTTTATAAGCTCTATGTAGCATTAACAAATACAGTTATTGGGTTAAGCTATAGAAGAATGGCCGGTTGATACGCTGAGTATGCTCTGCTGTGACAAACATGGAATAATCTTTTCCTCAACATAAAATTCAAACCTCCAGGGACCTGCAGCGCTTGAAGTTTTTATCACTCATCTATTCATTACTCAGTAAGAAGAGTTAATGTTCCACTATGCTAAGTTTGTAATGTTTACAGACAGGGCTCTGAGTGTTAATCACTCTGTGTTTAGCAGTGTTGGGTTGGGAACTATTTACCATCATTATCACACAGTTGTTATTGTTACTTCCTGTAAGTGTGGCAGTGACAGAGACATTAGCATCTGTAATAGGTCTCTTTAATTTTCTATAATAATAATTTTAATATGCAGCATAAACACGTGTCGTTGTTAAGCAACAAGGTAATACCTCTGTGAAACAAAATGTAATATGCTCTAATTACCTCTGGCTTGCTCAGTTTGCTAATGTGATAGCTTGTCTGCTGTCAGTGTAGACCTTTGTGTTTTTCTTGCTTTGCTCATAGTTGGTTCTGAAGTCTTCTCTCCTTCCTGCATTTTGTTAAAGTGGAAGCAGGAAGGAGAAGAATTTAAAATTCTTTTCTCCCTTTTTGTTATTAAAGCTCACTTTTACTTGTGATGGCAGAGCAATGCAGACGCACCAGCACAGGTCTATATGCAAACAGCAATGTTGACCACTTATAGCAGGAATTAAACACAGTACTATAAATTTAACCTTTGAGATCAGCAGCTTGGACAGAGTTAAGTTCACATCTATCCCTTACATCTGAATTGTACTTCTGGGTCAGAGCCATGTTATAACCAGAACAGCTTTTTAACCCTGCACCGCAATATTCAACGTAACCTGACGTGCACCTCCCAAGAAATGGAACTACAAATCGGGTCAACGCATACCCCGACGTCTTGCATGGCGTGGAAGGTTGCAGTGTAGGGACAAAAGGAGTTTCCGGTTACTACTCAAGTTAAGATGTAAAGTCTAAATCAAGCTTCAAGTTTGCATCTAAAGGTCATATGGAGCTTTAACCTATTTGGCATCCCTGTCATTTAACATACCCTGGACGCGTTTGCCTTAAGTTGTTCAGCTGATATTTGTCCTCTTATGTTTCCTAATTGTCAGTTTAACTGCACACTCGATCACTGCTCTCTTCTCATGCCAGCAGCAGTGCAGCTTTTCCAGATTTTCCACAGATGATTATTGATTCTCGCAAACCAATGGCAGTTTAATTTAATAAAATTTAGAATATGTGTTGACAGCTCTGCTCTGTCGCTGCTGTACAAGCGACAGTACGTTTCTAAAGGCTCTAGGCTCAATTGTCTGCATGTAACCTTGAGGTGAGACGCCATAACGTCAGTACATGCTTTTGTGACATTTGACACGGCCTCTCTAAATGGCAGTTGTGTTTGTGTGTGTGTGTGCCCTTCTTTTCTCCTCAGTCTGGGCTGGTGTACACGGAGGAGGAGTGGCAGAAAGAGTGGAATGAACTGTTGAAGCTCGCCTCCAGCGAACCGAGAATACACTACAGCACCAACGGCACCAACGGGTAAGGCCTGGCCCGGACAATGCAGTGACTGTTAACCCAGCACACTTAGTCACAGTCATGTTTTTATTCATGAACAGACAAGCACACTCACAGTCACAACTGAGTGACCGGCCCTCATTAGTCCATCTGCTTTTTTACTGTGGCAAACAAAAGTCCACTGGGTCGAATACAGTGGCTGTAAAGCTATAAAAACCAAAGCCACACTAACACAATGTGGTTTTTAAGTTTTACTGTTAGCCAAAGTTTCAAGTTGGTAGTAATAAACTGTTATCTTTAGTGTAAACAATCATCTCTGATAAACAAGAAACTGTTGCTGTCGTTGTTTCCAGAGTGGAGTCTTCAGACGAGCCGGTTTATGAGAGTTTGGAGGAGTTTCACGTCTTTGTCTTGGCTCATGTCCTTAGAAGGCCCATCGTGGTGGTCGCTGACACCATGCTGAGGGACTCGGGAGGAGAGGGTAAATAAGCCTGAAAAGACTTTTCATTATTTCACTTTCAGTTTAGTTTTATTGTTTTTAAATGTTCCGTTTTCATTAGTTTCCATTTTTAACCTGCAGCCATGAAAGTCTGATGAGGGATTGTTGTCAGCCCTCCGGGCGTGCGGCGTGAACACCCAACTTTCTGAGCACTCTAAGCCGAGATCGAGGGGACGTAGGATTTTCAAATTAATGCCTTAGCTACATTTACTAAAACTCTTGGATGTCTGAATAAACCTTTACCTCGAGGTCAGAGGTCAGGTTTTTGGAAAATCTCGTGAACACAATGAGTTAAAAAAAAGATGTCGCTGTAGATTTTTAGGTTTTTATTAGATGCAAGTTGTAAGTAGTTCAGAATACTTATTACAATACACATGTAAAGATGTCACAGTAAATATACACTCAACTGCCACCTTATTAGTTACAGCAGAAATTAACTAAGTCTGACAACATTTACTGGCTAACAGGAGTGGCACACAGCGTGGTCCTCTGCTGCTGTAGCCCGTCTTCTGTTTTTGTTTTGTTTTTTTGGACCATCATCTGTAAAAACCTTAGAGCTGCTCGTGTGGGTCATCTTCACTATCAGTGGGTGGGATTGTTGATTTGACCAAACTGACAAAAACTACAACTAAAGGTGTTTCCTGTATGTTTTTTTTAAATTCCCAATGACCCACTGAAGCCGTGGTCTGCACATCGACAGTCTTTCTGTGCACATGCTGCAGCTTCAAGCTAACAGGCTAGCTGAGACAGAAAGCGATGAAAGCTGTTGATGGAAGACACAAAAGTGACACAAAAGGCACAAAAGGCCCTGCTACACGAATGTAGCAGGGCCTGTTTATTTTCTGTCCACTTATACCCAGAAAATGTCTTTTTCCCCTTCAAAGATCATAATCTGTCTTCATTTGGATTCTCGAATCTCCAGCTTATGAAAGATATGAAGTCACAGACCAGAAATGGGCTTTTCATAAAGTCACGGAACCAGAAAACATTAGCAGCTGCAGCACAACAATCTCAAAGTGATGTAAAGGCTAGTTTTATTTGTATGAGCAGCCAGTTTATGAAAAACTGTGTTTTCCAGCGTTAGTGGAAATTAGTTGGGTACATTCACGTGGGATTAAGATTCCAGATGAGCTCAGCTTTTTTTAAGACTATTTTTCTGTGAACAGGAGTGTAGATGTTTGTCATTTACAGATTACAAAACTGAGGCCAAACAAAAGCTTTGAACCAGATAATCCGTGATTCATGATTGCAGTATTTCAAATGAACTCTGCCCTTCTGATATCTTAAAGTTAAAACAAACAGTATGAACTCCTGGCAGCCTTTTATGTTTTCCCCGTGCTTCAGAGGGTTTCTCTGGTTACAGCTGGGCTGTGACGGCTTGCCTGTCTCGTCCCAGGACAGGTCTCACAAAAGACTCATCTTAATAACATTAGAGTTTCACTTCCTTGTGGAATAAGGTTAAATAAATATATTTGAGCACTTTGTTTGGAAAAACAAATGTGAAACCAGCATTCTTGGGAATAAACTGAAGCATGAACAGTTTGCTATCTTTTAGTAGCTGTTGTTGTTTTTTGATAATGATCTTTTCCATTTCAAGTAGATTAAAAATCTTCCAACAAGTGAGGTATTGTCCTTGTATATCTTTATTGTTTACTCGTATGTTTCTGTTGTGCTTTACTGACTGAGAAACCGAGCTGAGGTCCCGTTTCGCAAATGTTTAATGTGCTTATTACTCACCCTCCAGCTTTTGCTCCCATCCCATTCGGAGGCATCTACCTACCGCTGGAAGTGCCAGCTGCCAAGTGCCACCGCTCTCCGCTGGTCCTGGCATACGATCAGGCGCACTTCTCTGCTCTGGTCTCCATGGAACAGAAGGACAGCTCGAAAGAGCAAGGTGATGCTCTCCATCATCCTTTAAAATGGTCGCATAAATATTGATTCCTTTTTCAAGGGCTGGTAGTAAGCAGCTGATATCTTAAAGCCATAAAGGCGAGTACATCAATCAGGGGAATGCTTATACAAATATTCCCCCAGAGAAGTTGATGAGTTTCTAGTAAGCACTAGGGGTTTCTTTCTTACTTTACAGCTTGGTGCCGCTGCTTGATGGGGAAGTCCTTTTTGCGTATTGTTCTTGATGATTTATTTGGGAATGATGACTAAAGAGAACTGGGCTTCCATGATCCATGGAGCTCAGCTCCAGGTTGGGCTAAAAATACAAGATGAAAGATGTTATCAGGGGTCCAGTAATGTGTTTTTTTGTTGTTGTTGTTTTTAAACAACTGGAAAAAAGATATTATTAACATTAGAGCACCAGCACACTCATGTGTAGATTGGTTTTCCATTTAGTCACAGCTCTCTTCTCTTTTTGTAAGTACTGCACTCTCGCCTGAACTTGGCTAAACTACGGTGAATGCCTCTGACAATATTTGCACACTAAAAAACTGCCCACAAAGAAACCCCAGTGACCCCAGGAATCCAAGGCTGTGCTTCTGGCTCGGACGTGGTTGGTCTGCTCCTTCACTTTGTGACTTCTTTGGCATGCAGTGAATCTTGGGATAGGTCGAGTCACATTTGTGGGGAGCCTTGTTTATACTACTCCTGATGCAGCCTTGGAAGGATTTGCAATCAAATAAGGACGCAGCCATAGTCTGAATTCCCGTGCTAATGTCAATAGCATGGGAATTCAGACCATGCAGTGATTGAATGTTTTCCGATTGCAAGAGTGGAGTCTAAATCCTGATTTTATGCATACTTGAAATTCACTGCACAGAAAACTCAAAACCATCCAAAGCCAACTGCTAAATATTAAATAGGAGATGAAAGATGCTGTTTGCCCACAGTCCTCACTTATGTAGGTGTATTTTTTTTATTATTTTTTTTATTGTTTTCTGATGTTTATTCTTGTTTCCACCAGCAGTTGTGATCCCTCTCACTGACTCAGAGCACAAAATGCTGCCACTGCACTTTGCTGTGGATCCAGGGAAGGACTGGGAGTGGGGGAAAGATGACACAGACAACGTGATGCTAGCAAGGTACAAAAAGATTTTACTTTTTTAAATCCAGCTTTGGTTGTCTGTTCTGTTTGGTTTGTCACTTACAAAGGACACGGTTAACAACTAGAGTGGCACATGCTCACTTGTGCGTGCTTGCCCTTATTGACAGCTGTCTCTTTAACACGAGTCTCAGTGTGTAGGGATTGACTGCTGACTCCAGATTAGTGACAATTAGATTAGCTCAGACGCTTCTCTATGAATGAACCAGAGGAACGAGCACTAAAATAGCCGCTCTGCAAAAAAAAACAAACCTTCCACTTCCACCCTATTTACGTCAGTGAGTGACACCAGAGGTCTTATTCAGATGAAACGGCGGGCTGAGATGATGTTATGTGAGTGGCTGTTAACATTGTTTGAAAAGGTCATTGACTTAAAAGGCCATAGCACAACAAGAGTATACGACAATGAGATGCTTTTAGTGATTTTGCCATTTACTCCACCATTTAGATCCATGTGAGTCTTTACTTACTTTATTTTAACTTTACCTTTAAAGAGCACGTATTCTCATTATTTCCAGCTCAGTCTTTGTACTCGGGGACTCTGACAGAGCAGCTTTCTGTGAGTCACTGTTTGGATTAATTCCTTATTTTGTACAGGAGCTTATTTTAAAGTGACTTTTGGTCACACTTTATAATACCCATCATTAATTGTGAGTTGATAGGCAGTGAGAAAGATGGCTTATCTGAGTGAAAGGGCAGGTTTACAAGATGGTAATAAGACCTGCTATGATGGGTGGTTTGGTCATGGTGGCACTAAAAAGAAAAAGAAAAAAAAGAGGAGGCAGAGCCGAGCCAAGGATGTTAAGATTTTTACTTGGAGTGAACAGGAATGACAGGATTAGAAGTCAGTGCATCAGAGGGACGGCTCAGGTCGAGCGAGGCAAGGCTGAGATTGTTTGGACATGTGCAGAGGAGGGACAGTGGATATATTAGACAGATGATGTACGTGGAGCTGCCTGGTAGGAGGAGAAAAGAACACCTCAGATAAGATTCATGGATACAGTGACGGAGGACATGCAGACTGTTGGCGTGACAGAGGAGGATGCTAGGGGCAGGGTGAGATGGAGGCGAGTCTTCGAGGCAGATTTTGATGACATGCACACACGCTTGTATATGTCACGTACTTGAAGCTATTTGCTTGTTTACGATTGTAAAACATGGGGGGAAAAAGACATCTGTCTTTTTAACATTTGTAAAACAAGTAATAGTAATATAAATTTCAGTTTTTTAAAAGCCAACCACAATTATATTTATAGATGCACTGCAGTGTTTAGCTGTCCTCAGTCTGTTGTTATGCTGTTATTAATAGAAATGGAAATAATAGAAATATCCTTTATTATCCTCATTAAGGAAATTCATGTGTTCCAGCAGGAAAGTGAAAAATGGAGTATGCAGATTCACACACAAGTAAAGAATAAAATAGAAGAAATAAGACAAGAAATAAGTATTTCCTTGACTTATTCGAATAATGGTGCAATTAATCAGCATCTCCTCAACATTACTAATCTCACAGGGCAAATTTACAACAAAAGAAAAAAAATACAGTGAATGTTACATTAAATGGCAAAATTTACTTGTTACTGTTTATTTATGAGCAATTAAAAGTATTGCCCAGCTTTCTTATGATTAACGACAATGCTGCGTATCCGAGGTGACCATATTAGAGACATTGTTGCTTAATGACATCATTCAGAACCAAAAATGAAAAAAAAAAAACATCAGAAATTGAACATTTACAGCAGCTGAAGCCTGAACTTTAGGCTCACCAGGGATCACTTATACGTATGCCAACCTCCTTATTTGATAGATATAGCTGTAGATGTAGGTTCACTCTAAGAAGGCAACTGACTGGCATTTATCACATGAAACAACTTATGTTCTGTTTTTATGCTTTCACATCTTGTTCTCACTGTAAGACCTAAATCTCTCTTCTGTGTTTTTGTTGTTGACTTCCCTTTGCAGCTTGTTTTGTATCTATTTTTCTGCCCGTTATTATGATGCTTTAGAATCCAGCTCATGACCGTTGTCTGTGTAATGACAAAAACGCTGTTACATTATAAAAATAACGTGATCGGCTACCCAAACAACAACAGTAATTACTTTTCCATTAGCACAGGAAGCCCTGGCAGAAAGTTCCCTCTCACTGAACTTTACCTTGTTTTTCTCTCTCTCTCCCTTTCCTTCCCCCTTCGACCCAGTGTGGCTCTTTCTTTGGAGGCCAAGCTCCAGATGTTGCACAGCTACATGACGGTCACCTGGCTGCCCCTGCCATGCGAGGTAAGGATTTTTAATCCAGCACTTCTTGTGAAATGGCTGACAAGTTAGCTGAGGAAGATGGCTCAGAATTGAAGACTTCTTTAATACTTTGCCAGACAAATCTGGTTTTGGGTTATTAGAAAAGGAACTAAATCCTGATGTAATCAGATAAATGCTTCAGGGGTTGGTGATGAATGTTAATTCCTTCAATTATTACAAACAAGAGCAGAATTTCTTTCCTTTTCCTTTGGGCCAGCTCTCCCTCTGACTGCTGTATATGTGAAAACAAACAACAGTGGCCCGTTCAGGTCAAAAAGTCACGCCATGTAAACACTATCACAAAGCTCCTCTTGTGTCCCATGTGGTAACGTCAGGAAGCTCGGACGAGCAAGTTCATAGCAGTTTCATGGTTATGCTACAAGGAATGGCAGCTTACATGAAGCCCTGTGTTGTTAGAGGGAGTCTTTCTGTTTCCACAGGATAGCCATGTGATGGCTTAGTTTCTGAAAAATGGTGCATTTATCTGATTTCGGTCACTGCATCACTGCAGGTCGTGTTTGTAGAAGTTAAATGACATCTGGACATGTTTTTTTTTTTTTCTTTCAGCATTTGGGAGCAAAAAAGAGCTTCTTGAATCACTTTTTCCACTTTCTTCATACCTTTCTTCTGCCATAAATGTGGTGGACCTTGGTTATATAGTTGTATAATTTTCTCCTACTGGTCTGCAATTTTTTTCACTAGAACTTGTTCTGCTTTGTTTGTTGCAGCAAGCCCCGCTGGCCCAGCCGGAGTCTCCTACGGCATCAGCTGGAGAAGATGCCCGGTCGCCTCCTGACTCCGGAGAATCAGACAAGGAGTCTGTCAGCAGCAGCTCCAATGGCAACGGAGACACAACCACAGGATCAACAGTCAATGGAGGGGGATCTTTGGCCAAGAACAGCTCCTCCTCTTCATCTAGTTCATCCAGCAGTGGATCAGCAGGGAAGGACAAAACCAAGAAGGAGAAGGACAAGGATAAAGACAAGAAGAGGGCAGACTCTGTGGCCAATAAGCTTGGCAGTTTTGGAAAGAGCCTGGGCAGCAAGTTTAAGAAAAACGTGGGTGGGCTGATGCCAGGAAAAAATGTTGGAGCTGGAGGTGCCAAGCAAGAGGGTGGGGAGAAGAAGAAAGGCTCATTTAGAGGGAGGAAGGGCAGCAAGGATAGCTCGCCTTCTGCCCACGCCTCTGAGGATTCTGGGAAAGGCTCTCCCTCCTCGGGCAGCGAGCGTCTCAATGGAGCCGGGAGCAGCATGAGCAGCAGTGGTGGGAGCAGCACTGAGAGCGAGCCCTACAAGTACAGCGCCGATGTGAAGGTCAGCCTCGGCATCCTGCGGGCCGCCATGCAGGGGGAGAGGAAGTTCATCTTTGCCAGCCTTCTCACCACCAGCAACAGGCAGCCCTTCCAGGAGGAGATGATCCAGCGTTACCTCGCCGATGCAGAGGAGCGCTTCCGGGCTGAGCAGGAACAACAGCGCCGCGAGGCAGAGAGGAAAAGCATCGCTAACAGCCTCCAACCCCCCAAGAAGGAGGTGGTTGGTTGTTCAGAGCTAAGTTACCGGCCTTACGAGCCCAAAGAGGAGCTATCGGAGAACTCGTCGCCTTCCTTCAACACGCTTAAGCTGTCTCCTTTGAGTCCCTCTATGTACTCGGCTGTTGTGCCCATCCCCAGGCCCTCCTTCATTGACCAGCCTCTTCCTGCAGCCCCCCTGACCCAGCATCTTCACATGCATAGCTACGTTGATAATCGACGCCAGCTAGCTGGTGGCTCCTCGGCAATCTCTTACCCTGGCCTCCCCTCGTATGCAACCCTCCCCCGGCACGGCCCCACTGCACAGCCTCCCTCCCATCCCCAGTACAATAACTCGCAAGGCCCCTCCTCCCTCAGTCCTTCCCGCCTCGCACCCTCATATCCCCCCGAATTCGACCCACCGGACTACCCCGGGGCTGAACTCACCACTGGGAACTACACCAACGGCTTCCGGGACATGAGCTCCAATCTAGACTGTCGGAACGGGCAGCCCCCTGTCAGACACTACTCGTTGGGCAGTGCCAGCGGATTGGCCGGCCTGCAGTCCAGCCGCTGTCGGACACCCAACTGCAACTACTACGGACACCCCGAGACGGGCAACTACTGCTCCTACTGTTACCGGGAAGAGCTGAAGAAGAGGGAGACAGAACCGGCCATCCACAGGTTCTGAGCAGACCCCGTTGTGGCTTGAATTTGACGAGTGGCCTTTTTCACGACTGGAGCGGATCAGCCTGTGGATGGACGAGGGACAGGGCAACCACCTCCCTCATCTTTTATTCTTAGCTGTGTCATTACCTGTTGAAAGTACCAAGTGAGGCTACATAACTACAGGATACACAAGGTGGTCTTTGACTGCCAGGGTCACGTTAGACCGTAGAGTAAACTGCACTTCTGTTACATTTTGCTGTGGCTCTTATGCAGGCGTTGTGTACGAGTGTGTGTGTCTGTGTGTGTGCGCGTGTGTGTGCGCGTGTGGGAGAGAGAACTACAAACTCTCCTCAAGTCTTGGAGTTGGAACGCCTTGCTACTATCTCCTCCTAGTGGAGCGAATGTATATGGCAGGCATCATACATGACACTCATCAATACATGTACAGAACACACATCCACACTAAGTAATACTTACACTACAACATAAACAGAGATGCAAGCACAAACGGAAAAGGCGTGAGTGTCTCTGCTCCATTTCTATTCTGTGATGATTGGATTGGTTCATTAAGGGATGTTTGAAGTCACGTCTGGTTATAAGGTGATTTCAGTGTTACAGATACAGATATTAACACTATTATCATTAGATGCTTGTACCTCGGGAAACAGCACAATTAATCCTCGTCGAGTTGCTTTTTTTTCCTCTTTTGTCGCATAAAATGCACACTGAAACTGTCGTGTGATGCTCATGATAAGCGTTCTGTAGGCTGCTGCGGTGCTAATGTTACAGAACGCGTTTAAGACGACTGCTCTGCACTGCACTCATTCGGGCAAAGTAACTATCACTTAAAAAAAATCTGCATTTTTGTCCAATGCTGTAAATTGGATTATGAAGATGTCAGCCCCCCCCCCTCTTTTTTCTTTAATATTAAGAGCTATTGACCAGGTCACATGATTGACCAGGCATCATAGATCAAAGACAAGATAGAAACATAGTACGATGGTAAGGTACTGTCCCGGTCCAGAGTATTTCTTCTGTTTGTTGGAATGTTTTTCTTTTTGTACTCGGGTCTTCCTGTTTCCTGTTACAATGGTTGATGTTTGTGTGGCCTCGAGATGCAATAATATGTGAAATGTGAGATGAAACTTAACGTTCAGAACAGCAGATTTTTGGAGACAACAGTCAATAACTTAATTTAGTTGAACATGAGTAAGCACATTTTGGGATTTTTAGGAGAAAATTTATGGCTTTGTTACCAAACATGCTGCGTTAATCAGTGGCGATTTCTCTCTCCATGACGCAAACTGACACAAACACTCGCCTGGATGTGAGAAACTGACATCGTATTAACAAATTCTGGTTATTTTTTTTTTTTAAATATTAATTTTATAATATTTTCCCTCTGTTCTCTCTGAAGGTTTAGAAATGTAAAACATGTTTTATGTGGTCACCCCTGAAATTTTAATTAATATGGTGTTCTGATTAATTAGCTGCTTATTGGTTTGGCTATTTACTGCAAATTCAGAGGTTCTGCTGAAGCTTTTTTTGTTTTTGTTTTTTATTTTTGCATTCGGTCTGTCAAAGTTGGTTGTTTTTGCACAAATTTGAGCACTTTTCCTGATGTCTGTGAACTCAGAGCTTTACTGGTTTTTAGTTGGTGCAGACACTGCCACCTCTGGTTCTGGGAAGTCAGAGACCACGGGTCAGAAGATTTTCGTTGCAGGACGCAGAAGATGGTGTCACCATCTCGCTCAGTGTCCCAGTTGCCTTTTTTCAGCATTTGCAAACCAAGAGGCCGACTTCAAGTATCCACTGCTTGCCTGCAGTTTTCACAAATTCTGTACCCAAAACGCAGCAAATTATTTCATGAGTCTGATGAAGTGTTCAGTTTGATTTTTTTCTTCTTCTTTTTTCCTTTAAGACTGTTTTAGTTGTTGACAAATTAATTTCTAACATTTATTATTTCCCCCTGTAATTAAGCTATGGTGATTAACTTTGACAGAGCAACTCTGGTTGTTGTACTCTTGTCCTTTTCAGACGTGAGATACTTGACATCATGCTGTTATTGCTTTCTAACACTGGCGACACTGATGGAGAGATCCACTGTGTACATCCATATGTGCAAAATACTTTACGTCAGCTCGAGAAGTCTGTGTTTAATTCGCAGTCTGAACCGCCACATCAGATTCAGAGAAAGAGGTCTGTCTCTTCTGGACTGAGTAAAGAAAGAAGTATCAAATAAGTAACACAGTCAGAGATGTCGTGACGTGGCTGTAATTTGTGTTTCTGGTTTCCTCTGATGAGCTGAGCTAGTGTCAGTCAATGTTTTCATTTTAGTACAATTCCCACATTACTTACTAAACCTAAAAGAATACAGTAATCCTCACCTGCAGCTGGAGCACAGCTGGCTCCCACGTGACCGGCCTCAAAAGAAAGCATACCTAAACCTAAACCTCAACTGGCAGTTGGCCTCGTAGATTTGCTGTTGTGACCTTTACAGAAAAGGATCAGGGTGTCTGCAAAGGGCTTTAGAGAAGCACAATTCAGTCTGCAATACACTGCCTCTTCCAAACGAGGGCGCCCTTCTTTCGTTTTTCTTGGTTTGTTCTTTTCTCTCCTGCAAACCTGCAAACACACAAAAACCAAATGTTTCTGACTAATTTCTTCAGGCTTAATTTCACTCTGTGTAACACAGTATTTTCTCTAATGCTGGTCAAAGGACCAGAATTTCTTCAGCTTTTTTCTTTTTGCTGTGCTTTATAGCTTTAACAACATTAAAACACTGACGTTTCGCTCTTTCCCAAAAGGCATTTGCTGTGTTTGTGTGTCATCATGTGTTCATGAAAGTGGATTTGTTTTCATTGAGATGAGACCCGACCGGCAAGCGTTTCTCTGAGTGCTGATGCCTGTTTTGTTTTTTGTTTTTTAAATTTAATTATTTTTTTATGTGTATGTGTGCATACCCTTTCCTTCCCTCCATAGTAATAATTAGCTTACAAACCTTTTTTCAATTTCATTTTTTTGCAATGACATGGATGCCTCAGAAACATGTAAAACATCAGACTTTACAGGCTACGAACACTTTTTTTGTATTGAAGAAAAAAAAAAAACAGTGAGAGGATGTATAAATATGTTCGGAGTTATTTTTGTAAGCCCAAAGTTTTACAGTGTTTTTAAAGGGTAAGAATGTATATTGTTGGACATGAAAACAGGTCGGGATTGTAAGAGGCTGTATTTGGGGTATAACTGGCGTTAGGAATAAAGACATTTTGGCTGTTGAAGGTGACCCCGCAGACGAGCCTTTTCATACTCGAGGCTCTCTCATTGCAAACTAATTTCCTCAATGCTGACCTAATAATTCGAGAATATATATTTATAGTGAGTTTTTTTTTTAAATAGGGTTCCTTGTGGAATGTTTAGTTGAAATGATTTTAGGATGTTCTTTCTCACATGGCTAATTGTCTAGCAGTCTGGCTTTTATTTTATTGCCCTTTTTTTTTTTTTTTTTTTTTAATTTGTAAATGAGGTTTTATTTGCTGCAGCAACCATTTCCTGTGCCAGGTGATATTGACCCAGCTCATTTCCTCCAAACCAGAAGAGAAATGGCTCAGAATTAGTTTGGTGACAAAACCGATCCGATTATATTTTTCTATATCGTTGACACTGTCGTTTCTGTGAGAGCAGAAGATTCCTCCTCAGAAACATTAACATGGAATACTTTTGAGTTGCATGGGACTGAAAATGTTGCATGTAAATGGCAAAACATTCTACCAAATTTGTGCATTATCTGAGCTTAATTTCAGCTGTCCTGGTATTTTAGTTGGTTTTATTTTATTTTATTTTTATCGAATAAATATTTTTCTTTTTTCCTTTTAGTTTTGAGAGGAGAGCTCTAAGGCTGTGTGACAGTGCAATCTGGACAGAAAGAACATCAGATTTTATGTTAGGTTGTTATTATTATTATAATTATTAATTTTTTTGCACCGTTTGAATAAATTCTCATTGTATTAAAGAAAGCTTTGTTTTCTCTTTCATGTGCTTTTCATAAGCAAAGTTTCTTTTGTAAAAAATCTCCAAATTCTTTAGTTGTAAAAGGTAAAGCCACAAAGTTTGTGCTATGAAATGAATCCATAATGTTGAAGAACTGCAGAATTGAGTCCATACACCTTAAACCTAAATTGGGGGACCAAGCACAGAACAGTCATCAACAAGTCATTCTCACCTCACCAAAGAGGCATCGATCCCACTCAGATTCATGAACCACATCAACTGTACAACTGACTCAAAGGGGCAGAGGGTCGTTAAGGATGGTCCCAAACACCTTTAAAGCAATAGAAGTTTCTGGCACAAACCTACTTAAGGTACATAAAGGAGGAAAAATAAGCCAAAACTCTGCAACACTTACATAAAACAACTTATTCTTAGAGTGCCCTGTTTTAGCTCATGGCTTTCATCAGCATGATCAGAAATCATTATTAAAATCAATATTTCTTCTGAGTCTTAGTCAGAAAAAAAAGTGCATTTTTAACATTATTGCGTCATTTTACAGATTGAGCTAAAATCTGGCATATTGTACTCTTAATTGATCATGACTGCAATCACAGAAATTTCTTCTTTTGTATTCTGTCATTAACCTAAGTTCATACAGTCGGGGTTTACGGTTTTCCTATAACTGGGCAGCTCCCAGAAAACATCCTCCAAAAGCAGGGCACCAAATCCCTCCCACCCCTGAGTGTAAGTACAAAAGACCCACACAGTTTCAGACCACTCACTTTATCAGGAGTTTATTAAAGTAGTTTAGAAGAAACACAAAGAGATTTCACTGAAACAGAATAAACTCAGCAGTTTTCATTGTGTTAATACTTGTGTGTTTCATCTTAACCTTGCTGCATTATACATCGCTGAATAACTCCAGCTCAGATGATGCACGGTCCTGTGTCTGGGACTGTTTTATATATCAGAGAAATCGGAGACCCTTATGTAATATTGAACAGTTTCCCATGTGGTAAAAAATCCAGACCTCTCTCTATTATAGTTCACAGGGACACGTTCTCCCCACCTGTTGAGCAGGGCTCAGTGTCGCTCTACACTATTCAGACTTTCCCTGTTCTCGCTGGAAAGGAATTTCCTCTAAATAGGTTTTCTGTTTGTCTGAAAGAGAGACTGACGCTTTATTTGCTCAGGTTTGGATGAGAGAGGAGAGGACTCTGCAACAGGATCAGAAAAGGATACAAAAAGAAGGTAAACTAGCAGGATTGTTCTCTTCTTTTTTCTGGTTTCTAACAGCAGAGAGATTAATTTCTATTTTTTTTTTTTTTTTTTAAATAGATGTTGGCTCAGTGGCTCTGCTACAGTTTCCAGACCAAAGAACTTGACAAATGTGATTCATTCATTGTTTTCTTGGAAACATTTAAGGCCAAACTAGTCGAATTTTCTTCATATGAACTTAAAACAGTTTTCATCTGTATGAAAATAAACACGCACAGAGGTCAGCTTTGGCACTACTGTGCACAAACACAAACCCTAATAAGAAGTTTGCAATACTGATGTATTTTCTTCTTTTCTTAAAATAACTATTTCTTGTAAAATTACACATATTTAAAGAACAGCTGGTACATTTATAACATATGTCTCATGGACATACTCCACTGACATGTGTAAACATACACAGAAACACAGTATACAGGCCAAAACTAGGCAGATTTTTTGTAATTTCTTTAGGTATTCTTGAGGAATATTTCTTTTGTTCTTCTTTGGATGTTGGCTGCCTTTTTGTTGTAGCCTTTGTCATGATGACCCCACACTGCTTCCATAATGTTGAAGTGTGGACTCTGGAAAGGTCAATCTGTGGCTGATAATTTCCCATTGTGTATGTGTGTGTGTTTTTTATTCACTGTACTTGCAGTGTGTTTGGGATCATTGTCAAGTTGTAAAACAAATCCGTTGCCAATCAGATCTTTTCTGGGTGGTATTTCATGGCGCACCAAGACCTGTCACTTCTTTTGTCTTCCACTTGCTCAGCTTCCTCAAAATTGACTTTACCATGGTGAGATTAAGCCTTCAGTTATTAGCTCTCTGGGAATCGCCTTGTTGTGGCAAAATATTTTATGTCGGTCAAAGTGTGTTGTCTTTGGTATTTTTTCTGCAGATTAAAATAAAGAAATATAAAACAAATTTGGTGCTTTGCCACAAGGTGCTAGTGACAAAATAACTAAAGATACATTTAAAAATTGGTTCTACTTTTATGGGTAAACACAAAACTGGGAGTTAGCACAATGTGGTACTGTACACTGGATTTAAAGTAGTCTGGGTACAGCAGAGCTAAAGATAGAATCACATTTTGTGATGTTAGAACAGAGGCCTGATACCATGCT